AATATTTTTTAGAGTTAATTAAATAAAAATATAAAAATTATAATAATTAGTATAAAGATGAAAATATTTTCAATAATACAATTTGTATTTATCCCTTTCTAACTTTCAAATATTACAATGAACTAGTAGTGCAACTTGTTCTTCTCCTTCTTATATACAAAAAAATTTTCCATATTTTGTTATTTCGGTTTGTCATTTTATGCAGAATATTTTCGAAGGTTGTCAAGTCTAAGAAAAAAACAAAAGTAATTTTATGTTGTTATTGTTGTATTTCTTTTTGCATGAGACGAAGACAGTTTTAATCACAATTTAATTAATGGTTCGTTTAAGATTAAAAATTGAGATAGGTTGTAAACTGAAAACTGAAAATTATTTTGGATGAGAGGTAAAATATTATGATGGTTGTATGGTAATTTTTGTTGCTTTTATTTTTATTTTGTATTCTAAAATCACAATTCAATAACACATTTTTTTGTGAAAATTGCATTTTAGACCTTTTAAACGATAAAAGATCGCAAATCGAAAATTGGTCCCAAAGACAAAATAAAAAAAAAACTGGAAAATTTTTTTCAAAAAAGGAATAAATGTAATTTTGGTTTCTTTTTGACATAACGGTAAAAAATGTTCGAATATGTAGGTAGCATTGTAAAATCAAAACAATTATATAAAAATAAACAGGTACTTAATATTTGAATTCCTTTCATTAATACTAGTACATAGATATACAAAACAAGTAAAACATTTGTTTGTCGTCATACAAACAGTATGACATAAATTGTATGATTACATATTAATGGCACGTGTATGAAGGTGAAAGCATTTTTTAACATTGAAATAATGAAAATGAAATCGAGCAATAAACAAAAATTGTTATTAAATAATTAAGTAAGTAATTAATGACAATTTAAGGTGAAATTATTAATTGTTATTTAATTAAATTCTGACATTTAACTAATTTGTGTTTTTTTTTCTATTATGTTTGAGTTTCGATTTTGTGTGTGTTTTATGACGATAAAACTGACCTCTAATTTGTAAAATGATGAAAAGTTCATTATTTTTAAATTTTTTAATTTCCTTTTTATTTTTGTTTTTTTTTTTTTAATTTTTTTAATTTGATTGATCTATGAACCCACATCATATAATAGAGGGAATCAATTATTAGGTATTCTCATGTTGTGTTACTAATTTTTGTTTTTTTTTTAACGAAAGGGTTCTTGATTAAATATTGTTAAAAAAATTTACGCGTAAGTTGTTTTTTTTTGTTAAATTTGACTAATTCGAATCATAAAGTGAGAGAAATTTTTCAGAAAGAATTTTTGGATTGATATTTATGAATAAACACAATAGTGTTTTATATTGACGAAATAAATTTGCGTTCAAACTGATTTCAGACAATTATTGCTCGCCTATTACAACAGCATTTAAGCTCTTCTAAGGACCATTGTGCCATAATATTGAATCAAGACTATACTAATATGAACGAGCCATGCTTTATATGAGAAATCTTAAAATTGTTGCGCCTTGAAACAGTTTTGAATGTCCACGTTAAAGTGTGCGTTGTTAAAATTTAATTCGCTACTTATTTAATAAAAATTTTTTGTTAATTGTATATACACAATTTATTAACAAAATTATATTGTAGAGTTGTTAACTATTGGAATGTTGTAGCAGAATTATAGAATTTTTGATAGCCACGCAGTGTGTATTCCGCATATTTGGGGATAACCCTAAAAATTTTTCCATTCAGAAGATTCCGATAATAATATATTTAAATGTAGTACTAATTTGCACTGTTACCCCTTCTTTGCAATCTACAATCTACAATAGTAATAATTCTGTAAATGTATGTGGCGTAATTATAAAAAAGAAATAAAGGGTAAATGATAATTTAAACTCGTTTTGATTCCATTATTTCGATTCTATTATTATACCGTATGAATGTCATATGTGCTATTTAAGGTTTTCTATTTTATTATTAAGTGAAGGGATGTATATACACTATTACATAAAATTTTATTATAATATATTCACTCTTTCTAAATTAGTTTTACCGCATAATTTTATATTTTTAAGATTTTAAAGAGATTTCAATAAATTTTTATTATTTCAATTAAATGTCCTTGAAAATGTTACTATTTTATCTTATCAACAATTATATTGAAAGAAATTAAATTAATTCCCAAAAAAAAAAATTAAATTAAGTATAATTAATAAAATTTTAATTAATCTAGTCTTTTTATTTTTCAAACTAATTTCCGCATTTCTATGGTGTTAAAAAAGTAACGAATATTTAATTTCGTACATCATTATCGTCGAATTATATATTTTTTTTATTTGATACATATATATATATATATATTATAATTTATTCATTGTAATAAAATTTTTTATATATAGAAACAAATATTTTATTTTCACAATTAAGTATTTGTTTTTCCGCCTTAATTTATTTTATGCTTAGCAAAATGTTATAGTAACAAAAAATAAAATTTAAGACTATAAATAAGTTGTAATGTGTGATTTGTGATAATTTAATGTGGCTATTGAGTGATGTGATATAAATTATACTTTAACTATGGTAGTAAAATTTTTAATTTTCGTTTTAATTTTTAATTTTTTACATTTACATATGAAATGTAAGAGTAACGTGTATAAAATAGCAGAGAATTTGAGTTATAAGCTAGTGTCTCCTGTAATTGTTTTAACAAAATTTCAATAGTTCCAACGACTGACATATAGTTGATAGTTCCAACGACTAACATATAAGCTTATGTAAATATTTTTTCAAAGAAAATTCAGTTTTTAATAATGGACAAACTTATTCTATATCACAGAAACATTTGCTCCGATTCAAGAACATCGAAATGAAATCGGCGATTATTTACTCTGTTTAATGGAACTTTCGCACAAATGGCTTTTCTCTTTGCTTTATTTACCCTAGAATATTGACAACTCTACATAGTTCTGCTCGAAACTATTCCAAATTTAAACAAAATCATAGAAGTTCTGTCATATAAATTTTCGAATTTTATTTAAATTCTATTTCTTTTTTTTTAATATGATAAATGTTAAAACTCTCTTAATAAAGGCTTTAAGTCAAATCATACTCTTTAATTAAGTAAATGACAATGGAATTAAAAAATGAAAAAACAAATATAAAATATAAACATTTTAAGAAGCGTAATACGCCAATTTTTTCCTTATTTTTTGCAGCCATCATATTTTTAAGTATATATGACACTAATCATTTACGCGAACATTTTATTACTTATGAGCGAATTACCTTTAACCGTGAAATTTCTTGGTATTTTATTATTTGTGTATTTAATGTGCATGTATATATATATGCATAGACATATATCGTGAATTAAAAGGTCAAAATTAATTTTTTACAATTTTTTTTTAATTCACCTTATATGCATAAAATACAAAAAAAAAATGAATCAACAGGTGAATATTGTAAAAAGTTAATAAGGGACAGTCAATAATTTCCAAGACAAAAATAGACGAATGTTTAGTAGAGGAGGAGGAAGAGAGGGCAACCGTATATAATAACTTTAATTAAAAGAACTTTTATTAGCATCTGTCATCTTATAAAATGATAAAATAAAATTTTTTATTGCATATTCTTTTTTTTTTAATTTTCTTCTACTTTTGCAAATTTTATTCTTAAAATTTAAAAGTTTCTTCTTGGATCTCTTCTTTTTATTTATTGTTTTGTTGAAAGCATTTTATGCTTTTAATTTTTCATTGTCAATATGTGGGCGAGGACAATTACTATTTAGGCTAAAAGTGATATAATAATAATCATTGGCGAAAAAAAAAACTGAGCACAATTTATTTTTATATGCTTTTCTCAATTAAAAAAAAAAAATTTTTTAATTTATATTTAATTTTTTTTTTGTATACGGAAATTCGATATCAATTTACGAATGGTAATAATAATAAAATTACGAGGTTTAATTTAAGATTGAGCGAGAACCCATAAAAAAAAAATAAAATTTTTTTTAATTTTTAATTTTTATTTTGTGTATCTTTAATGCTATGAAATCTTACTTTGATTCTCGAATTGTTGAATCAGTCAAAAATCAAAGAAAACTAGTTAATTGTAATGGCAAAAATTCGTTTTGCACCCTCTAACACTTTTAAAATTCTAACTGACTTACAATTACAACAGGCTTATTTAAATGAATGCTCTGATATAATTTGCAACGAAAATTAATGTTAAACTCTAATATTTTATGTTTATTGGTTACGTTTTACTTCTGAAAAAGAATAGAAATTTTGTTGCTTTTTCGAGATATTTTCAAAGAATGTTTTATATTTTAAGATATTTTCATTTTTCTGTTTTATAATCATAATTCTGAACGAGATTTCTTCGCCAATTTTTCGTTGAAAAACCCTCCTTTTTGGCAACATAAGTAACAAAATATAACCTTAGAGATTTATTAAATTTAATTATTAATTTTCAGTAGAATTACATTTAATTTTAATTTTTTCATAATTAAATTTCAATTATAGTATTAATGACCGTAATTTAGTAAATGTGCTCTTGAATAATTCTTAATTTAATTTTTTGTATGTGTTATTTTGAGGTATCATATTTGCAATGTTTAATTTCGACAAAATATTTTTTTGAATAGCACTCCTTTAAAAAGCGATCGCATACCGTAACTTTTTATTTAATTTTATTTATCTATCGAATATATATATTGAATTTTAGTACAAAGATAATAGTTAAATAATTAGCGAATAATAGTAAAAACACTATTAATTAACACCTACCGGTTACTTTTTGTATTAGTTTTGAAATAAAATATATTTATGTATACTTAAATTTGCTGAAATAACAAAGAAAAAAAAAACAAATCGAAAACAAAAGTGATAATTGGTTTCTATGACAAACAAAACGAAAAAAAAATTGTTAGTTTAATTTGAAAAACTAAAAAAGAATTTATTTTTATTATTAATATATTTTTTTATTTTAATAATTCTTATAGGTGTTAGTTGTACAATCACCATCACCATCAATACAAATTAAAGAACCTCCACCAAGTCCCGGTAGTCCACAAAACGATACAATGTATGCTGCCACAGGCGGCACTCAAATTTACCTTCAAGTAAGTGCAAATATATTAAATGCTAATAAAATTTTGTTATACATAATATATTAAAAAAAAAAAACAATATATTCTAATTTGTAAAATTAAAAATTAGGGTCCACATCAAACTGGTTCAGGTAATTCTGGAACATCTGGTACAAATTTTCCAAAACAATCACCAAGTCCTGGTCCCTATGTTACAACTGATCAATATGGAATGTATACAACAAGACTGGCAACAGGACCAAATTCAACATTTATATCAGAACCATATTATCGTGAATATTTTACACCAGATGGACCAGCTAGTTATGCACCAACAGCACGTACTATTTATGGTGATAGTAATGATGGACCACAACCAGGTACAACATATGAAGGACGTTTTACAACGACACATACAACAAAAAATGGTACACCAGTGTATGCAAAAACTGTAACAGCAACTGGTTTAACTGTTGATTTACCAAGTCCGGATAGCGGAATTGGTGCTGATGCTATAACACCTAGAGATCAAAATAATATACAACAGGTAATTTATATTATAAAACTGTAGTTAATATATTAAGTTAAAGGGTTTAGCAAATGACGAACAATTTTTTTTCAATAATATGAAATCTTATTAAATTAATTTTTATTTCTCATATTAAATATAGGAAGTTTTTGTAATTTATTAACTGAATCTATTTGCAATCTATAATTTGTGATTAGTATGCATACAAATTATAACTCGTAACAACATAAATATTAAATATATAAATCAAAAGACTGAAGTGAGAAACTTGAATGATTTCAAGTGATAGAATTGAGTAGTTTATTTTAACTGATAAAATTTTTATTTAGTTAAAGTTTTTCATATTCATAAATAATTATAATTAACTGCAATTAAAAAGCTAAAAAAGAGAAAAATTTTGTTTTTGCTACAACATACTTGTTTAATGATAATCTAACGATTTCAAGTTTCATAACAAAATTTCTTCTCTACTTGTTAATAACATGGATATTTTTAGGGTGCATGTCCTTTTAGTTCATATGGTTTCCTCCAATGAAACCAGTAAATAATAATTTATTAATTTAATGTATGAACATTTAATATTAGTGTTTAAGTTTCTCTTTGAAAAATCATTTCCTTAAAAGCACAGCATACACGTAAAATCTAAGCGTGATATTTTATTTTCAATTTAATTTATTAATTCAACAATATTTTCAATATGCATGTAAAAATAAACATTGTAACATTGCATTTTTAATTAAAAAAAAATTAATTTTAAAAATTGTTAATTCTCAAACATAAAAAAAAAACTTTTTCTTTATTACCCCATTTTAATATTTTGAATTTTTTTCTTTCCTCTTCAATTTTACTCTTAATTCGTTGGAAATTTCAAATAATTCTAACATATATTAAAAATATTTCTTAAACGAAAATTTCCCATGGCAAATAAATAATGTCTCCAATTTAGGAGAGAGTTAAAGAAATTAAAAAGAAAATTTATACTGTATAAATATATAAACAATTTTCTTCCTTGAATTCAAAACAATAAAGGCAAAAAGAAAACAAAAGAATAAAAAAAATTAAAACTACATCAAAAATAGTTGTAATTTAAAACGTTTAAAAATTCTGTTATTTTTAACTTACTTATAAAAGTAAAGAAAAAAAAACAATAAAGAAAGAATAATAAAATATTATAAAAAAAAATTTTGTAATTAAAATCAATCTCCTTCCTACTTCTTTAATTTTAGCCCTCTAACTCAAATCTTACATGTTATAAGTGAATGAGTGTATGTGTTACGAATATGAGTACAAGTTGTCTCATTAAAAATTATAGATTAGATTTTTAATTATAACAAACAACGAGGACCTATTTTAACAAACAGGAAATTATAAATAACTTTAGTAACTTTAGATATATTTGATTGAAAAATTAAGATTTTAATTTTGTCCGTTTCAAAATCTATATACTATTTCTTTAATTCTAAATATCTAAAGCATAGTTTGATTTGTATAGATCCGTAACAATAATAAAGCAAAGGTTACTGTACATTAATTGTAAATTTAATAGTAAATTTTCAGTAATTCGAATAACCTCTAAAATTTTACTCATTTTTTTTTGTATTCACCAACAAAGCTGTTGTTTCTAATGTTCACAGTAGTGAATTTTTACAAATTTTCAGACAAATTCAGATATGTATTGGCATTCAAATTAAAACTCCTGAATTGACATCTTTAAAAGAACGCATTTAAAACAAAGAGTGCAAACATTTTTCGACAATCAACTTCACCAATTCGTAAAATTTAACTCTGTTCAAAGATGTTTTATACGAAAATCAATGATAATAATAAATTTTTTCACATAAATCAAAATTTCATATATTTTGTCTCTTTAACATTTTTATACTCGCACATTTTGATTAATTAAAACGAGACAATCTGTAATATTATTAATGCATAAATATTATTTACGATTAATATCACATATATACACCTATGGGTGCTTAAATATGCATATGTATATGTATGTATATAAATGGGTATAGAAATACAAATACCAAATCTGATTGAATTAATTAATAATTATCATTGAAATCGGCGAGAAATTTTTTAATTTCCAGTAGCTAAGTAATAATGATGAAAAAGGAAAACAAAAACGAAAAGAGCAAAATAACAAAAATAAAAGTAATCATTCCAATCATATACATTTGGTATACAGGCTAACTATACATATGCATATATACAAAATATAACAATATTTAATTCAATATAAAATCACTTTAAAAATCGCTTAGACACACAAAACATTTTATACTTTATCCATACGCACATTTATACACATATAGCATTTTGTAAATTATATTAAATTACTCTTAAAGGCTTGTATAATAAGTTATACGCCATCTGTTAACTATGATTGAACTAAAATGTGCAATCTCTAACTGCTCTTATTATTATTTTGGATAATAATGTGTGCTTCCATATATTTGTTATGCGTATATTTTCTATTTAACCCTTAGGCGATTGTTGTACATGAACGTGTACAATGATTTTTTTTTAACTTGTCGTTATCGTTATTATGCTTTTTCTTATGTTGTTATTTTTAATAAACAACACAATAAATAAAATAAGAAAAAGGTTTAAGTCTAAAACTTAAAAAATAGAAAAGAGAAGAAAAAAAGTGATCTGAATTAAATTGATGATGGATGATGGAGAGTTCATTAAAAACATATGCACATATATATTTTCAAAAATGACCATATTAGAAAGAAAGTTGCATATATACATAAAAATCTATTGTATTCTTCTATATACATAAATTATTTTATTATTGTTAGTTTATTATATAGTAATAAAATAACCACTGCCTATATATAAATGCAGAAAATATGCAAGGCAAATTATAAAATGGTATTTTTTTTGTAACTTTAAGCTACTGAGGATTGAATGATAATAGCTTTAGGTTAGAAATAAAAATGTTAATGAAAAATAATAATAATAATGAAAAACTAAAAAAATAATTGTAGAAAAAAAATTTCATGATGAATTTTTTTTTCCATATAGGAAAATTTTTTTATATATATTTTTGTCATCTTTGTATATCTGTGCTTCTATCTGGTGTGTTTTTATATAGAAAGAGAAAATATTTGTGTACACAATTTATTTTAAAGAAAAAATTTATCTATTTATGAAAAATTTTTATATAAATTGGAAATTGAAGAAAATTCCAAAGAAAAATGTACACAAACACTTTTCATATATATAATTTTGCTTTTTTGTTTTCATTGTAATTTTTGCGAATAGTATAGTAATAATAACAATAATAATAGTAGCCAGAGAGTAAAATAAAGTAAGTTGCATTTTATGCACATGATATTTGACTAAAAGGCATGTCATTCAAAACTATGTGTTTTTTTTTTTTAAATAATAATAGATAACGCAAAAATTGTAGCATCTATTGAGTGAGCATCTCCATATGTAGGTACCAGATGTCTACATATAATAATAACGATATTCTCTCAAGTATTATGTATATACACTTAAGTATATTTTATGTAAAATATCTGTATACGCTCACATATTTTAATCATATAAGCGGGTTTTTCAATGAAAATGTGTTTTGCTTTTGCTTGTCTTTTAGTATATTTATTCTATCATTTTGTATTTTAAACAATAGAGACAGTGAACATTGTGTATATATGTCATCATGTACATAATATAAATAAGTAAATTTATAATTTATTTTACATGCTTTTGAATTTACATTGATTGTTGTATTAAGCCGTTTTGCTATACATATATTATTAGCTTAAAATTCTTTGTTACAATTTGATTGAATTGATCTTTTAAAAACCGATCGAAAATATTATGTGACAAACGCAGACGGGACATTCCATATTTCCAAATTTTTGTATTATCTACTTGTAAATCGTGATCGTCAAGATTTTACCCGTTATATAATGATATACGTCAAAACTTTACGTTTATTCGAACGTAGCAATTAAAAAATGGCAAATCTATATTAATTGGAATTTTATTCAATATTTGGCAAATGATGCAAAATAAATTATCGAATTAATTTTAATTAAATATGAACTGAAGTTTCCCACTTAAATCTTTTGTTTGGAATTAAAGGGCAAATTTGAAATTTAAAGATTACAAATTTTTTCTAAATTTCTCATGAAATAAACTTTAATATGAAATAAATACCAAAATAAATCCAACCATAAAATCTTATATGATCTACCTTAAGCACATTTTTATTGGAAACTATTCTACCTTAATTTCAAATCAAATTGAGAAAAAAAAGATGATTTTCTAGTACTTTTTTCTACTCAGCTGCAGGTGCCACAAATTTTTACATTTTCTAATAAAAGATAGAATTGTCTTGTAAACGGTAAAAATCTTACAATTTTGAACGTATACCGTTCAGTTTTGTTTTATTTTTTTTTGTTTTACCACCACATCACAATTGAATGCTGTTTTATTTCAAGCGTGTGTTTCATGTCATATTCATTATTTCATTTAGTGTTGATTTTTTCTTCTTTTTTTGTCTTTTATTTTTTTTAAATGCTTTTTTACGTTTACCTTTTGTATAATTTACTTAAATAAAAACTGAACTAAAAAGTTACTTTGTTACAATTTTTATTAAAAAAGTAAAAAAAAACAAAAACTGTAAAAAAAAGAAAAGAAAAAAAACTAAGAAGCGATTAAGATGCTGCTACGGTTATGTCGTTACCTTTGTTGCTTTAAAAAAAAATCCAAAATGGAAGAGAGTTAATTGTTGTCGCATTAAATTGCATATTTTAGTCTTTGTTTTTTTTTTTTTTAATTTCTGTTTATTGTTGCATATTTAACCAATAAAAAATAAAACAATGGTTAAAAATTAAAAAAAAAAATATTTTATGCTGTTGTTACCATAAATGCATTGGCCTCTGATTTTCTTTAGTTTCTTGATAATATTATCGCAGACAATTTTGAAAAGGAAACTTTATTTTTCAATTTTTTTTGTATTTAAAATAAAGTGTATTTTTGTTCATTATTTCAAATGTTTTACTTATTCGAATAGGAGGTCAATCGTTTTTTACCGAAAATTTTGCATAACCCAAATATTATATTGCAATATCGAACCAACGGCGCTCGGTTGTTTGAAATTACGTTGGTTATACAATATATAGGAACATGATCTTATTCAAATAACAGTCATTCATTGATTACAGTACAGATTTAAAATTTTGATTCAAAAAAAAAAGCTCGACTGGGCGCAATAAATTTGAAAATTATGTGAGCACATAAACTGTTGTATAAAATCACAAATAAATTCTGATTTATTTGTGATTTTATGCAAAATTTCCCCAATAGCTCAATATGTGGTTCATAACTGTAGTTTTTAAAATTTTGAAGAATATTTTTTCATATACTCGGCCAAATTTCGCGTCCAATAAAAATTTTATTACTTTTTTTCTTTTTAATTTTTAGTTAGCTCATTAATTTTTTAATTTATTTGATTTTACATGAGAAACTGAGAGAAGAAATTTAATATTAAGAACTTTCTCTATATATCATATTGATGTTTGAGTGCAAAAATAAATTGCATTTAAAATGCTATCGGCTACAATAATTTTTAATTCAATATAAACTATCATTCAACCCACGTATCTATATAGATATTACATTGGTATGATTGGTATAGTTGGTAATCTGCACTCATCATTTTAATTTTGCTGTATTTCTATAAAGCCTTCTTGGCCTTTATGTATACGCATTGAATGCGTTTTTATAATAGATATTTAGTATTTTTTACCGTTTTTTACTTTAACATTGCTTTATACGAGTATACGATGTGTAATAATATATGTATATATGATATATTATATACCTGCATAATATACAAATAGTTTGCAGAAATAATTTTATTTGCAAGCAAATTTTTTGTTTTCTTTATAGATGCTTCATTATTATTAATCTATTTCTTGGTTCACAATATGCTTTTGTAAAATAATTTTCTATAGGTACTAAATTGCTTTTAATTTTTTGATTGAGAGGCTTTATTTTGAGAACCTTGTTAAGCAATGTAAATGTATATTGTAAAATTATTCTTTAGCTTTTATAAACGTTTTAATTTTGGTAGATTTCAGACCAAGGATTTGTAGCTTTAAGTACTGCTGTTATATTAAGTTCCTAACATTACTGAAAATAAATTTTAAATATATTTATATGATTAAATTATTTACAAATAAATGAGCAGTCTTTAAATGTATAGTATAAGACTGTAGTATGGGGAGTATTTCTGGTGATATTTAATTAATTTCTACTCACAGCATATAATAGCATTAATTAAATACAGTCCATAAGAATGATCATAGTCTGAATAATTTCTATATGATTATTAATTTTTAGAAATTTTTTTAAACATGCGAAATCCAATTGTACATGTATCTACACATTACATACATGTTGATTTTTAGTTATTTTCAATGTACATAATATTGCTTAAAAACCATTTATTATAATAATTTTATTTGTAAACATTTGCAATTATTACTATATTTGAGTTGTCTATAAATGTACAGTAATAATATGAATATATGCATTATGAATACAATTAAAATTCATAATAATAATTTTCATAATGATGATAAAATGTCGCATAAATTCATCTATGGATGGCAAATTGTAATGCATATATATGTATGTATGCAAGTGCAACTTAAATATGCTTACCTAAGTCATAACCAATTGTAAAGCTAATGCATAGCTTTAAAAACTTTAAAGATTAAAAATTATAGCAATTTTTGCTATTCTTGCATTTTTTTTTCGCAATTGTTGTTTTTTCTATTGACGAGCGCGTAATTTTTGCTATATAAATAACGTGTTTTTTTGTATTGCTTATTTTTCTTTTTTTTTACATAAATTAAATGATCAAATGAGGGGAAAACTGAAGCTATGATAAATAAAATTTCATTGCCCACTTTAAAAATGGTTTTTAATTTAATTCGAAATAATTTCAAAAATAAGAAAAAAATAAAAAAACAACGCCTTAAATGAATTAAATTTCTATTTTTTCCATATTTTTTGAAGTGCAACAAAATTGTAACGAAATACACAAGATGCGAGACGAAAGAAAAAAAATGGAGCGAAATCGTATTTTTTTTCTCTGTTTTAACTTATTTTTTATTTCGGAAATTTCCTTTTTATTTTTTTCATCCTCCCGGTTGATAGTTTTATATCTTTAGTAAGATCCTTTGTAAGCTTGATTGAATAGAATATCTTTTCATTGAATACATTGAATTGGTTAGGTTTTTAAGTTAGAGTTAGAAAGTTAGTACTTTCTTCCATATCCCTGGAAATTCTAAAAATTTTCTGTTGTAATAAATAGGGTATAACAGTTAAGAATAGAGTATAACAGTTTCATTTTTTTTATTATCCAATATATAAAATGTGTGCTAGCTTAAATTACGTTATTTTTAACGGCGTACTGAGTTTTACTGTTACATTATTTTTCACAAAAATACTACATTTGAAATTAAATTAATATACTTTATGATTTTTTTGTAATAAGTAATGGCCATAAATAGTCTTCTTTCATAAATATTGTAATATTTAATTCTTATATATAAAATAAAATGCATTAAATAATATTACATAAACAAAGATTAATTATTTAACTCGAATCATTAATTTTTCTCAATTATATTTTGAAAACCTGCAATTTGCAGCTATTCCATGGAATCTGTAATTAATAAAATTTAATGAATTAATGTAGTGTTCTACATTTTATAATTGATTTTCTAAATTATTAAAATTACGATTTTTATTAAATTTTTAAAATTAATATTTATACAAAAAAATTCTAAATATTTCAAGTTTTTATATACGGAAAAGGTTAAGTTAAGTTAAGGAAATGAAATTCTATAAAAGCCCTAGAGAGTTTTAATTATAAAATAAAAATTGATCAAATATCATTATATTTTACGATTAAATAATGTAAGATAAACATATTTAAAACTTTCATCATTCTGAACTTGAACACAAAAGTTAATTGGCAAATTTATACTACTTATTTGCTTTAAACATACTTAAAAATTAATTACGATCGATAGTTCAACAAAATCGTATTTTTCGCCATATTATGACTCTATAATAAAATTCTGTTCTAAAATTTAAAAAATTTTAATTATAATAATGTGTTTCTAACAAATTATGTATTTATTTTGAAAATAAATAAGTTTTATATTCGTGAACATGCTGTATATATCAGATATTACTTTAAATATCTTGCACCTATTTTAGAACTTTCTTTAACAAATTTTCTTCTACAAAATTCGAGAATGATCGAGAAAATACGAAATGCAGTTATTTATTATTTTTCTCTTTTCTATATACGCCATAAATAATTTTAAAAAGAAAAATATTTTATAATGGAAAAATTTTAAAAGATAAAAGAAAAAACGACCAAAATGAAAAATTTTAATGAATGAAAGAAAAATAACAATGATAAACAGATAAAATTCATGTACATACACACATTCTGACATATATGGACTTTTTATAGACACATATACAACATTACATAGAAAAATATATTGTTTTTGAGCAATGACATTTATATATGAACTCAAATTAACACCATATTTAATAAGTTGCTAGATTTAAGTTGAAATTATTTAAAAAATTTTTTCATAAAAATATTTTCAATTTAATATAAATTTGCGTTGCGGGATTTCCTGATTTTTATGATTTAAAAATAGAATTAAATTTAAAAAAAATGCTTATTTTAATTATTTTAATTTTCGATAGGATGAGGTATTCCACCCAAGTCTTGACCAATTTGATAAAGTTGCCAATAGAATAATTTCATATATGATAATGCAATTCTTTATTTCATTAAAATTCTAATTAATTTCTACACTGCAAAGATTCAAGTTAATGGGAAGCACTGTTTGGAATAAATTTTATGATTACATTTTATAAAAGCAATACAATAATCTCAATTTAGCAATTGAATTGAATTTCTCATTTAAAATATTGAAATACTTAATCTCTTAGAAATTTAATCTAGGATTACTTAACAATTGTTCGTCATTGAATAAAATCAAATGACAGAAGTTGGCGCAAAATTTCAAATTTAAGCATTTGTTTAATTGTGGGGCTTTTTTATAGTGACATGTTTTTTTAATTACCAGCAATCCCAATTTTAATTTACTAAGTAATTTTTTTCCTTTATTTTTTTAAAGTCATTTGATTATACAGAATTATGTCAACCAGGTACATTATTAGATGGTAGTGGTGCAATACCAGTATCAGTGAATAGCATTCAAAGAACTGTTAATGTTAATCAAGGACAAAATAGCCCAACTACATCAATTGGAACAAATAGTACAGCAACAACGAGATCGCGGCCATGGCATGATTTTGGTAGACAAAATGATGCCGATAAAATTCAAATACCAAAAATGTAAGTATATATATTTTTTTCTTTGTTTTAAAAATAAAAAATAAATTATTTAGAATTGCACATACACACACATATATGAGTACAATTTAAAATTTATGAAGAAAAAAATAAATGGAATTCTTTTACTCCTTATAAATAATTTGAAAAATACCAATTTTATTTTTTTTTCCATTTTGTAAAACAGTATTTCTAGAATTTGCACGACAAATAAATGTCGTAAATTGTTCAATTTTCTAACAATATAATTATTGGGCCACTTGTTTTACAAAATAAAATTCGTGATAAAGAATACATAGATAAATTTGTTCGAAATAATTTTCTTTCAATTTTCCTAGTTTTTTTTTTTTAATTTATTTCTATTTTTTCTATTTCAATTTTAAAATTAACCTATAAAGTGTAAAATGTGATCTACTATCTGACAATTCAATGAAAATTCTTAACATTTAAAGAATCAAAAAAAAAAAAATTATAATATAAAAATGTGAAAATTTTCTATAACTCTTTTAGCAATAATTTTAACGAAAACTAAAAAAGAAACTTATTTCAACACCTCAAATTAGTCCAAGAGCTAAGAATGATCATTTTCGTTTTGATTTTGAAAGTGCCAATATAGTAAAAAATTAATTTTTTAGTATGAGCAACATTCAGACCTTACTCACACTAAAAAAATTAAGTAGAATTTCGTTAAATTGACTTGAAAGTCTGTGCTAATGCCTTCAATATATAATTATAAAGTTTCCATGTAATTAATTATGAGGTATTTTTTAGAAAAATGGCATTTTTAATTGACTGATAAATGAATTTTACCATAATGTAAGCAATTCTATTGTTAACACTTTAATTGTTACAGCAACAAAGTTTTCCAAATCGTGCTTACATCTCCAATATTAATTTTAGATAAAGGTTTTAAAAATAAATCTAAAAAAAATAAAGTTGGAACAAACCAATAGTTTGCAAAGTAGCACTTTGCCCTTGAACGGATCAATCTACGTACATAATTTACTTTTGCTTAATTTATTTCAATTGTATACCGAAATTATGTTATGAAAAAAAAAATTATTGCATATTTATCGGAGAAAAAACAAAATTTATAGTATTTTGCGGTTATGGAAATTTTAAAGACCTTGCTGGTTTGGAAATAAAATTGACTGGACTTATTTTACTTATTTAAGTAAAATAAGTAGAAGGTTTAAGATAACATTTAATTTCAGTGTCCATGTTTTTTTGTATTGTTTGAGTCTGCTATTTCGTTATAATAGAAGTTAATCACTAGTTATCTACGTCTACGAAATTTAAAAATTTTTTGTGGTTTAATACAGTAAATTGTCAAAAAATTGTACTAACACTTTGAGGTGGTATTTGTAGGACGAGTTAGATAAAATTCTATTTGTCTATAAAATTTTAGTTTTCTTCTTAGCAGTTACAGAAGCTTTGTTAGCAGTCGCACGGACAGAATGCAACTAATAAGCACTTTTTTCTCCAATCTTGTTTGAAAAATGCAAAAAACTAAAATTAAGAAAAGAACATAAAAAATGTGACTTCAAACGTGCTGCTTCATAAATTCCATTTGGTAAATCGTTAAAGAAAATTCCAAAATAATATTAAAAAAAAATAAAAAAAAGAAAAATAATGCATAACAAACAATCAAACAAGAAGGCAGAATCCAATTTTAAAGAGGAAAAACAATTTTTTTTTTCCTTTTTTGCTCTCAATCTAGTGGAATTTTTCAATGAAATTATCCTTGAAGAAATTCAATTTTTTTCTAAAAAAGGAAAAGAATAAAAAACAGTAAATAATAAAAAATTATAAAAAGCAAAGCACTGAAATTGTTCACTAATCAGATGTGAACAAGAAAAATATTAAATTGATTTTGGTCAACTTTGGGATACCTTTCATAAATTCTTAACTATAATAGATGATTGGTGTATTTATATGGAAATTAGTAGTAACTATCAGTGATACTTTATGGTTGTGCAGCTAGTTGTAATATGGTGCAAACTTATTTGTAAAAAATGTTGTAAACCCGAAGATGTTATACTTAAATAATTTTTGGTGATGTTCTCAGTATATTTGTACTCTATGATTCTCTCAATACGATAATGTTTCGGAAGAACAACAGTAGAATCTAACTTCTATTTGAAAATTAAGGGTCTGATATTAAGTTTGTACACAAAAATGATTTTCCGTTTTTGCTTTTATGTTAATAAACGAAAAGACAAATTTATTAAACTCTTTTTATGGCTTGCCACAAGTTGGGTTATAAAAAAAAATAATTATTCTCTTTTTGGAATACCAAAGTATCTTGAAAATTTATTTTAACTTATACTGAAAAACAGCACTTGCAGTCTAAAATTTGCGATGTGGTTCTCTTTTTCGTTTTTGTTTTTAATCGGTAGAAAATTTGAAGCGGTAGTAAAAAGTAGTTTTTGTTTTTTATTATTTTTTTTTTTTGTTCTTCTACACATGGCATACTCATATAAAATAAGGAAGTTAAATCAATTTTCGTTTTGTTTTTCTTAATTTTATTATAATGTAAAAAAAATAAAATTTTTTCTTAAAGAATTTGCAATGACGAAAAAAAAATTTGCAATTGATCTGAAATATTTCTTTGTACATGGTGTCTACACTTTAGTGTTACAACTTTAAGGGAAAGAATACAAGAAGGAGATGAAGACTGAATAAAAAAATTCAATCGCTTATTTTGTTCTTTCTTTTTTGTTGTCCCTGCGTTTTGTATTCACATAGGTTGATCGTTGTAAAATTAAAATGAAGTCATAAAAAACAACGCTGTACAATTACAGTTTAATGATACCGCAGAACTCCACAAAAAAAGGAACTATAAAAAATGTGTTTTGTTGTCTTTGATCAGTTTTGTTTTCCTTGTGTTTCGCTGGATAATTTTTTGTTGCCGCAGGTTACGATATGTCTTCTCTTATTAGAATTGAATAAGTTGAATTGGAAACTGAACAGAAATTAGATTAAAATTTTAAACTTAAAGTGATGAAAGTATAAAAACGCATTTTTAAGTTCGAAATTCTACTTTCCAATTGCAACTGAATTTTTAAAATATAATTATGGAATTTTAGTTATGTAGGATAATTATTTTCGTTCTTACTTTGTGTATGTGTGTTTGTATATTTGCATATTGTTAATTAACAGTATCATAAGGTATAAAAATATGGAAACGCTCACATATCATTTTGTTTAAGGTATTCTTTAATCCAAAATTATTTTTGAGCGCCCTCAAATAAATTTTGTAATTTAAAAGTTGTGTTAATTAGTATTACAAGTGTTAATCAATAAAATATTCCTTTTTTTTGTCTTTTTTTACTCCAGTTTGAATTTTCTCTTTATATTTTTCTGAATTGACTCCTGAGTATAAAGGACTCTCTCATATAGAAATTGCAGGAGCACAATTTTCTTTGATTAACTGATGCTAGCCTGTGGTAGGTTTCAGTAGATCATTGTACCAGAATCACGCTTTCTCATAAAAATGTAAGATAGAAATTTACAAATAACTCTAAAAATTTTCCAACACCATGTTACTAACATCCAACATCATCGTCTAAATTCAAACAAAACATTGTTAATTAAAATACGTGTTTGTGTTTGCTTGATGATCTTGTTACAATGTATATATAGATTGTTAAAATTATAGTGTCATTTCATAATTACATGGTACAAAAAATTAAAAAAAAAAAGAAATTTTAACAAATTACTATCAGTCTTATCGCACCTCCCTTTACTTCTTCTCAAATTCAAAAGGAAGGAAAGTAATCTAAGAAAACATAAGAATTTTTCATTGCTTGTATATGCCTAAAATATTTTAGATTATGTCGTATTTGTATTTAAACTAACTCTAAATATGTAGAGGCAAGTCAAACGGATCTTTGTCGCTACGTTTTTTCGTACGGACAACAATAATGTAATATCCGTTTACTGAGAAAGGCACCGGCAAGCGATAATACACAATTTATTTTTTACATCTTTAAAAGTTTCGTCCAAAAAATTTTAAATTTAAATGCAAAAGAAGGTAATCTGGTCTATTTCAAAGTGTGCGAAACTAATAGCAGTAGTTTTTACTGTAACAAAAACATCCAGAGTGAAAATAATAACAAAAGATTTACTTTACATAAATATTGCAAGCATAAATGTAAAATTTACACCTGAAAACAAAATTGCTAATAATTCAGTATTGGGTTGAAAGAGACAGAAAATTAAAAGAGAATATATGCATAAAATTTTTTTTCTCTTTTATTTTTTATTCTCTGTTATTTGTATTTAAACACAAATTTCCTTTTCTTGTCATTTTAATTAGACTTTAGGGCTTCTGGACTTTATTTTCTTTTTTTTTGAAAAGGTTACGGACGTTTCACTTAAATTCTCTTGTTTACTTGTTAAAATTCTCAAAATTAATAGAATATTTTTTTTTAAAGAGGGCATAATTATTTTTGTATAAAAAAATTATAATTTAAATTTTTTTAAAAATAAGGAAATTATAACATTGTTCATTAAGCATGAGTTTATTACAAAACAGAAAAAGAAAAAAATTTAGATTGTGGAACGGAAACATGGGTATAATAAGTGTAAGAAAAGAAGAAATTCCAAAAATTTTAATAAATTTTTTTTTTATTAAATTATATTAAGGTTGAATTTTATATCGCGGATTTGTGTCATTGAATCCATGACTGAAAGTACTAATGAGATAGGTAGAGTCAAATTAATGTACCGCTTTATTTTCTCGATTTATAAAAATTAAAAATATTTAATCCGTTTCAGATTTCTCATTCATAAATTTGACACATTTTCAGTTTTAATTATTTTTTTTATTTTCCTTATTTTGCCGATTTTTTTTTAGTGTACTTTCAATTTCAAATTAATTGTTATTTATTTTATCGTATTTTTTTTTGTGAATTTTGTGAGATTTGAAAATATGCTAATAATATGAGAAATTTAAGTACATATAATTATAACAAGCTCTTAATTCTTAATTATAAATT